CACCCCCATTACGGCCGCCCCGCCCCGCCCCAAGACTCGCTAGCTTTCCAGAGAAATGACAATTACCGGGACAACGCCACCAGTGCACGGAAGCCCGTCCGGGTCCGCTAGCAGGCCGCCGCCGGGCCGTGTGGCGCTGCGTGGAACAGGACGACGAGAACGAGGGCGCGGAGGAGGTGGTGGAGGAGGAGGAGGACGGAGGCGAGGCAGCCGTCGCACAGGCGTCCCTTACGACCCGGTGGAGAGGGGGGGGGGGAGGGGGGTCAAGGCGACACATGCGAGAGGCGGGGTGGGAGGGGAGAGGGCAATGCGCTGGTGCAACGCGCGCCGGAAACAGCGCGGAAATATTAATTAGCCTGGATATCGCGGCGTGGCGGCGGCCCGCCCTGCGCGACCTAGTCCGCGGGCCCGAGCGGGGGCGGGGCGGGGCGCGGTGGGTGATAGGTCAGAGTTGGGCAACGAGCCTGCGCCCGGGCCGAGGGCCGGGCTAGAATAGGCTAGGCTCTCAGGACGCAGCGGGCGGGGGCGGCGCGGGGGGCGCGGGGGTCCAATGGGCCTCGGAGGGGCCCAGCCCGGCATGGCCCACGACTCAGCCAAGCGGATCCGATCGCCGCGCCCCGCGCCCGCCAGCCCAAGCCTTCTCGGCCCGAGCCAAGCCGGGGCCCGGCGGGCCGGGCAGCTCGGGGCTCGGAGCGCTTTGGAGCCGTATTGCGCCCCGAAACAAGAACGGCCCGGCCCGGCCTGCCTCTAGGCCTGCCCACCCACAACGCGACCGCGAGTGGCCCGGGCGACCGCCGCGGGTCCGGAGACGAGACTCGGAAAGCACCGTGGGACGCGGTGGGACGTCGCAGGTCTAGCGTACCGAATGCACGCGTGTGGGCGGGTTGCCTTCCCACCCGGGGCCAACAAGCCTCCTGGCGGGCTGCACATGCACAGCTGGGGCACAGCTCTGGCCAAAGCTCTGAACAACGCGACGAGCTCTGACCATACCTCCGCAACACTCACACACGATTTTCTTTCATCCCCATCCCATACATCCACACACGGTGGTTTGTTTCCCGGCACGCAGAAGCGGACCGCGCGTTCGCGGTGCGTTCCGACATGAAGACGTTGTACTTCACGTTTCACTCGGCGGCGGGGCGGGGCGGCGCGCTCTGCAGGCGGGCAGCCCGGCCCCGCATACCTCCCTGTACAGCTAGCTATGCCGCGCCCGCCCCGCCCCGCCCCGCCCCGCCCCGGCCGCACCACCACGAGATGGGTCTATCCCCATAAACCACGCTAAACTTTTTGCCGGCTGAATGAATGATGACGTACGGAACGGCTGGCGAGGGCCGACCGGTCGGCCGGCAGCGGCAGCAGCAGCAGCAGCCCTGGAGCCTGCAGAGGGCTAGCCCGCGGCGGGCCCGGCCAGCCCGGCCCTCGGTACGGCCATCCCATCCGCGGGAGAGAAAGCCCACAAGACAAAGCGCGCCCCGGGCAAAGCCCGCCGCACAGCGCCGCTCGCCCGCACCGCCAACAGCTCAACAGTCATTTCCGACGATATTTTCTTCTGAAAATCCCTTTGCCTCACTCGCTCCCTCCTTCCCGTATTCTATCCTCTTTCGTTCCGCCGCGTCCCGTTCGGAAAAACAATAATCTGCGGAGTTTGTTGCGTCCCAGGTGCGAGGTGTGTGGTACCGCCAGCAGCGTCCTGTCGACACACTGGCAACCGCACGTGGATGTCATATGGGGGCGCAGGGTAGTAAAAGCGACTGCATAGCTTAGAAATATATTTCTATTATTATAATCAAGAGAAAATTGAAAACCAAAACAGAATGCACCTGCGGTCCTCAAGCAGGTTTGGTAATTTTCAAGAAGTCGCTTTACAAGTCAATAAAGTCTATGAAACCATTCGTACAAAGAATAATTTCATCTCGAAAATTGGATAACCTGAGCAGCTCCAAAATCTCCACCCGAGTGGCAGTTAAAGCTTTGCGAGTTATATCCCCCCTGAGGCGAGCCGAGGTGGCGCGGCGGCGAGAGTCTCCATCCCCTGACAGCGACAAACGAACGCGCGGCCGCAGCAGCAGCAGCAGCCCCGGCGGAATGCGCGCCACTCGATAAAGATAATGACACGCCAGGAGGACCCCGTCCGGATCAGGAGGGAGGCGCGCGCGGGGCGATCAGTCGACATCCGCGCAGAAACTGTGCCGGGTGATTCAGAGAGGATGCAGGTGCTGGCGGGGAGATGGTGGGGGAGGAGGACGGGGTGGAAAAGGGGCACCCCGGGGGCGGCAGGAGGACGCGGCCTGGGGGGTCCGCGACGCGGTCCGGAGGGAGAGACACACGCGTTACATGACAGAGCCCCCTGATAAGCGGCACGCCCCAATGATAACGGTACCGCGGTGGCGGCGGGGGACCCAAACAGGTGCAGGACGGCGGGGCGGGGCGGGGCGCGGGGTAAGGACCAGCAGGCAGCGATAATAACAAGAGTACCGCTAGCCTGCACTAGCCCCGCACTAGCCGCCTAGGCCAGGCAGGTCTGACCGGTCTGCTGGTGCTCGGCTCTGCCCGGCGCGGCGCGGCTCGGCTGCCGGTGTGGCGCGCGGCTGTTGCTCTTGCGTCAGGTGCCTCACATCACTTGCAGGCAGCGGCGGCGGGGCGGCTGCAGCGGCCAGAGCAGCCCGGGCGGCCAGGCGCGCGCGTTGCTTTGATCGATTTTTGATATCGGCGCGGCGTATCGATGTATCGATGTGTAAGCAAGCATTGACAGAACTGGCGCAATAACACGCCGGCCCGGGCAGCCGGGTGGGCAGCGAGCTGGAGCACTTGTCCGCGCGGCCTAGCGTGTGGCGCGAGCGGGCGCGAGCCGGGACCCGCTGGGACAACTGTTTGCACACTTGGGCCCTCGCGCCGAGCCTCAGCGCCGCCGCGCCCGCTCAGCTGTGTAAGTAAATGCCACCCCGGCGGTGAAGGGGCCCGGGCGGGGGCCTCCGGCAGGGGGCACCGCCGCAAGTGTCACCAGCTGGGGGTCCGCGCGGGGCGCCGCGAGTGTCACCAGGTGTAAGCGAGCACCCAGAAAAGCGCGTGTTCTCGTATCACGTGCAATACACTTGAATCGAATGCAACGTACTTGAAGATAATCTCAACTCAAATAGTACTCGAGTATTTGGGCATAAATTAACCCGAATTTGTTCTCAAATTCGCGCATGTCCTTTGGTTCAAGGCTGAATTGGGCTTGAATTGAGCGCAAAAATGTATTTGAGACATTTAAACACTCTTTTTCTAGGTGAGGGTGAAGGTGTCACCAGGTGGGTCCGCGGGTGTCACCGGGTGGGGTGGCGCGGGCGCGCTGCACGCCGGGCTGCACGCCGCGCTGCACGCCCCGCCGACGAGTCGTGGACGATTTGGCGGTATCTGCCATATTTATCTGGGCGGCGTGTCAGCATTATGTATTCAATGTAGCCTACCGGCGCCGAGCTGCGCCGAGCTGCGCCGAGCGGTGCAGCGCTGGAACCTTACCCCGCCGTGTGCTCGCGTTGAGTCATCGCCCCAGCGACACTGTGCTGTGTGCGCCTGCGCCTGCGCCACAGGCTCGGCTCGGCTCGGCCCGGTTCGCCCCGCGACGCCTCTGACCTTACGAATTGAGACCTTCGCCCCTCCGTGACGCAACGACCCCAACCCGCTTCGAGGGGTCAAAGCGGCACTGCGAGCGGGGCCGGGCCTGGCCGGGCCGCACAACACGCCCGGCACAGGTGTACGCGCGCAAGGCGCACAAGCGGTGCAAGCCCCCCGCCGCCTACACGGTCAAAACAACACCGCGCCCCCTCCTGCCCGTCGGAGACTTCGACGCACTCACCTTGGTTCTGTTGAGCGGGTTGCTGAAGTCCCACCCCGGGGCGACGAACAGGTATCCACACTTAGCGACCTTCCGGGTGGCCTGCGAGACAGAGGAAAAAAACATAACACCATGAGAGACAGCCGTGGGATGCCGTGGGACCAAAACACTCCGCGTCTAGCGGGAATTATGCACTTAGTGGTGTTGACAAGTGGTCATGAAAAAAGCAGGTCCGCTTAAACACATGCAGGTGGGAAAAACTAAGGGGGAAAGTCGTTTGAAGTATTCTCCCAGTAAGAAAACAGTCAAAATGTAGTGGAGACGGAGAATGGAAAACGCCTTTGTAGCAGTGGACTTCCTCCGCGTCAACGTCGTGGGGAGCTAAGTGTGGACGGAGAGGTTTTGCGAGTTCCTTATCTCTTTCGGCCGTTTGAATAAAAATTAATCTGCTAGCGTCGCAGAGGATAAAGGGCCCAGATCGTAAAGGACTGCCTTGCGGGAAGACGCAGATAAGGATATGGAAAAGAAGAGAGCGGGAGAGAAAGAAGCGCCAAAACTAAAACCTGAAACGCATTTCGAGGCGCGGGAAACTATCCCAATAACTCTCCCACGGCGACATAAAAGGGAAACGGAATATCGTGTCTCCAGCAGTAAAATAAAAAGGACAGGCGTCGATAAGGGCGATAGCTAGCTAGGTAGGGTCGCTAGGGCCGCGCGGGGCCGGCGGGGCCATGCGATGCCCGGCGATCTGCGATCGGAATGCCCGATAAGCAAGACCAGTCAAACTAGACTGCTGTTTGGACGTGCCGACATGTGGACATGCGTACGTCATATCCCAGCAGGTCCCGTTCCACGGGCCGCGCGTTAGGCGGGTTAGGCATGGCGGCCCCGTGCGGCTCTGCCAGGCTCTGCCGAGGCTCGGCCCGCCGGCGCGCCGCTCTGCATGCTAACCACGCGGGCCTCGGGCCTCGGCGCCTCGGCCCCTCTACAACGCCAGGAGCACGACGAGGGGTCACCGCGGAGCGCGGCCCGGCCTGGGGGGCAGCTGGCCCGGGTGGCGCTAACCTGCCAAATCAATACCATAAACGATTCGGGAGGCTGTGCTAAGGGCCGCTATTGAGATTGCACGGCGCCCCGGTCCCGCCCC